ATAATAAGAATAAACTTGTAAATCATTAATTTGGTAGTTATCTCACTATAATGATTTTTTTGTTTATATGACTTTTTTGATTTCCAAATATATTTTGGCCTTACAATACGAAGCGTTTTGTATCTAATACTTTTTTTGTTGAACGATGAATGTTGACAGGCGTGTATCTTTTTCGGAACAAGAGGCGCTTTAACGGCGGAAATGATTTTCGAACTATCCAGTTAGTTTTCGGAAAACTAGAAAATGTTTGAAGAAAGTTGTCAATAACATTAGCATGTCGTTCATTTGTTTCATTTTGAGAATACTCTTCTTCCGATTCAAAATCGAGATTCTCGATATTTCCACAGTTTATTTATAATACTTTCTACACTGGCTTTATCTATCATTTTATATTCTTCATAATATATATTATCACCCTACTTTGCACTGTATTAACAATTTTTTTTAACATACTTTAAAATGGGAGGATATTCTCAATTCGTTGAAATATTTTTTTATGTATGTTGAGCGATAATTCTTTACCACGTTGCCCGGTTTCTATGATTCTCTTTTTGTTAGAAAATGAATAATACTACATAAATTAAGTCAGGATCTGAAGATGGGATCCATGAGAAAATCATTAACATCTTCATTTTTAAAGTAGGTTTTTTAAAATTTCTTTAAACCGTACTGGTTCGCACGCGGTAAAGAATGAAGAAATGTAAATAATTGTTGTGCCGGCCAAAAAGCGAAGAGGAAGTAACGATTAAAATATCGAGTGACAGAAGTTTCTAAGTTCGTTGAGATCGAGTTTATATTTTAAAATGCCTTGAAACCCGCATTTAAAAGTATACAATTTAATAGGGTTAATTTTCAGTTTCTACATTTGAAAATATACCCGAATGTTAGGTACAGGTACAAATTAATACGATTCGTTTTAAAATTCTTTATTTTAAATTATACCCGACTGAAACTGTCTCTGACGTCATGAGCGTTGTGTAAAGGTATATATTCCAAATAAGCAACATATCATGTTCCATCGCTATCAGGAATAATAGAAGTGGCATCTCATTTAAAATAAAAAGGAAATAACAGAACTGTCAAAATATTTTAGATGGAAAGATCATAGCCTGTTTACTATTTTTAACAAAAAATCATTCATTATTTTGTCAGATACCGATAACGTCTCCCCGTCGCTGGACAGCCTGTATATAAATATACAGCTCTCTATTTACATAATTATAATTCTTAGGTAGGTTTGAATTTCTAGACATACATCTTGTAATAAATATAACAGCTGCTAAATACATTGATTACATTTTCATTAGCCAATGTAAAAATGTCTTTTATTGTACCTAGGATTTAACTTCACACTACAGGAAACTAAAAATAAAATGTCGTGTAATTAAATAATAAAATACAAATTGAAGCCAAAATATCACAAACGGTCCTGTAACGGCACCGTCATAGAGCCTTGAAACACCGGATTAAAGTGGTGTTGCCAGGTCAATATTGAATTTGTAGGTGAATCGCTTGTTGTACATTAATACCGTATTTGTATATATTTTTGGGAATGTAATTACACATAAATATTACTACTATTATAGTTGATTATTTAAATGTTTATAAATTATTTTGGGGCGATATTTCGTAGATATAAACTGATTAAATCATGTAATTTAAAAATAAATTAATTTAAAATACTTTTGTGTTAGGTATGTTTAATATACTTGGCAACACTACAGGGACAAGTCATACATACTGCGCAAGCTTCTAGACACACTATTTTGAGATGTCAGGCGCAGAGACGCGTTTTTATGCACAGTAGGTTTCAATTTCTGCTTGGATGTTATATTTATATTGGTCTTCTATATTATTTCTATGGGCTTACTAGGGAAAGAGGATTCTAGCAAAGTGGTTGAGAAATAAGCCGATGTTAGTGCATTATTCTCTACTTCCTTGCGATCCTCCTGCTTAGAGCCCCTCCGTGATATTATTACACTGGGTGAGTCCGTTAGATTGTGTGATTTCACATCCGTCATTTTCTTCTTTTCTTCTTTTATTCTTCAGTTGTTTCACAACAGTTGACCCAGTCATTTCTTCTTCTTTCTTCTTCCTACAACATCACATACACTTGGTGATTGGTTCATGGCCCAAATCTTACATAATAAATAATAAATATTTCTTCACTCATAGTTTACATCTTATTACCTATACCCTGTCATGGGTTTACCCAAGAATTTTTTTGTTAATACTTGCCACCACCTGTAGAGGCCTTAACTTGACAAGTCTCCTTTTAAAAAATGTTAGTTTTTTGAAAAAACAAGGTTGTTTAAAATAAGCCTTATCTTTTAATCTGTTTAATGTATGTGATTTGTTTTGTATAGTCTTGAATATTTTAAATTTTACTATTACAATTGACTAATATTTGTTTTTCAAATATTTTTAACTTTTTATTACTTGTAAACTTTGTTCATTTTACAATTTATTTCACCCAACATTTGATGAAACTTGTTTTGTAGTATTCCCTAGTGGATGGAGAGTATGGTGAGTTTTCTCTTTTTTACTATTTTATATATCGTTTGCTCTAAGTGTTGACACGCCTTACACCACATATTCTCCTTTCCACTAGGCGAGCCTGAAGATGAAGTGATGACACTTCGAAACCGGTCGCACTCAATGTTTTGATAAATAATTAAACATTGACTTTCCTTGTGAGATATAAAGGACTTTTTCTCCCCCTTCACCTTAAAATTACCTCAACTCACACATGGCTACCCCCCTTGTCAATCACTTAGTTTAACCAACTTATTATATTTTAAATCATTTCAATTCATTTTAACTTATTACAAAAATGCACCACAAAAATTCAGATGATTTCACTGCTGACCTCAGAAGGGCTTTCCCTTCTTCAGAGCACGGTACACGTGAAGATTTCTATGGCTTTTCCCCGGTTACTCCCGCACCAGAGCAAAATACCACCTTGTGCAGACAGCCAAACTCGGTTATAAATTTAAATGATCATGATTTTCATAACTTTCAAATTAATGATACTACCCGACGGTTTGCCAAATCCCCGCCGTCTGGGCCCGAACTTACCCTGAGAGTACCCAATTCGTTTGAATTGGGACTCAAATCACTATCTACCCCTATCGAGCGTCGGCCTACACACGGTAAATGTAGGTCAGGGTGAAGTTTCCCTGGTGAAGTACTTCACAGTGTTGGTGATTTCGAGGAGTTCGCTACGCTCTTCGAATTGTCCACCAGTACGGCCATATCTCCCTCACGACTCCTTCTTAGTGAAAGAGCGGGGTCAGGGCGAAACGACTTTCACCCGAGCGAGACCCGACGACAGTCACTTGTCATTAAATATATAAAGTTGAAGAATTCCAGAGGATATACAGCAGACGTCCTCAGAATTGCACTCTTCAATAATTCTTTGTTTTGTCGTTTATTTTTTTTATGTAGGTGCGCTTACTGAGATGCAGTCGTTGCAACAACAGACGGATATCCTTTATGTTTTAGCCTCACCTAGGGGGGTTTATGAAGTGTAGTCCTACTAGAATAGAGCCGAATCAATACCCTTATGTTCAGATCTACCTAAGGTGAGAAGATTGAGAGATAGTTATTTTAGATAGTCCAACCCTGCAGTGACATCAAGCATATTCGTGTAAAATGTGAGTCTAGCCCTCCAAAGTGTCATTTACCCAAATCAGCTGTGCGGTTAATATAGTAGCTATTATCGAGGGTGTATCGGCACTTCAGTAAACCAAATTCTTAAATAGTTTTAGACTGGTATAATAAAACGAAAAATGCATACTGGGACGTGTCCATTCGGCGCCCCAAATGTGACGTTAATGAACAATACATTTCTATAATAATGAATAATATAATAATAAACCTCTTTCTAATTATTGACTCACCATCTATTTCTGACGTTTTTATATTGTTCTTGATACGTGGAAGTGTTGTTGATTTGGAAATATTGAAGTGGCATCGAGACGGTGATCACCGGGACGTTGAGCGTCGGAATGTAGAGCGGCAGAGCGTAGAGATGGAGTCGGAACGCAGAATGTCATATAAGAGCGTCATGACATAGAAAGGTAGGGAAATGGAATATAGAGCATCGAGACGTATAACGTTGAATAAAGAGATGATGTCGGGACGTTGGCCGTCGGGATGAATATAAGATAGGAAATACTTAGGAGGCGCGGGACGTGATAGCGTTCAGGGGATAGGGTGTATTGTAGGATAGACGTCGGTTAGGAAGAGCGTCGATTTAAGAAAGGTACTGAATAGTGAACTTGATTTATACTGGATTTGAAAGTAAGGAATGACTGTGGTTTAAAATCAACTGAACTGAGTTTGATTTCTTATTGAAATGTAATCTTATTGAATGAATCTCGGGTCTTTGTATACCCGATTTGTGACGTCAACTTGTCGTAATTCTGATTGGAAGAATTTGGGTGGATAGAAAAAGGGTGTTAGATTTATTACTCGCCTTGAAAAAATTGTGTATCGAAAACAATGTTACTATTCAAAACTGACCTAGATAAATGCGTTAAGTGTTTTAATTATTATGACATCGTGACAAAACTTATGTTGTATGGTGGTTTCGGCTTTGGTTCTCACACACGTACAAAAAAATTGGATCTCTTACGGACAGGGTTATAGATATTATTTGTTAGGTGCCGTAAATAAGATTTAATTATCTGGGAGATTTTTCGTTAAATCAAGGATTTTGAATTTAATAAGAATGCAATATTTTCTTTAATAAAATGAAATAAATTATGAAGGTACCTGGGTGAGGTAGGTTACACTACAAGTAGGTACGTATGCTCAAACTAGATATTTACCGAAAATAGTAATATAGTAAAAGTATTATTATATTTCCTTTAAATTACGCTTAACATTTAAATTTGCTTCTTTCTTAGAGCTGGATATCATCGGCCCGTCCATGTATCTTTATTACCCAACTTTTCAAATATCCCTCTTCCCTTTCAATTTACAACCTGCTGCCTCTAAATTTTATCGGCGTAGTCATCTCAAGAAAATTAGGTATGAAGGTGCGTTTGCGTAAAAGTGAATCGTGAATCCAACTGACGAACCAACCGCTTTCTGGTTGTTCGATTTGTTCTGTTTTTTCTCAGAACATAACATGACATTGAATCGTATCGTAAACAACACCACGTGGAACTAGGCTCAATGTTTGTTAGTAAATTTACGTTCAAGTGAAGTGTCCATCCATATGTGTTATGTAAAAGTTTGGTTTACGACATACGAGCGACCCACTGACACAACGCGAACCGCAAACATTTATGATAGACTTTTCGAAGGTTGAATTAAAATTGAAGTGTTGTTTTGCAGTTTGTTTACATGTTTAACGGGTTTGATAACGGTTCAAGATTAGTATATTGTGATTATTTATTATTCTAAATGTAAGTAACTATTGACAATCGATATTTATTTAACGAATGCATCTTTTAAAATTAATAGGTATTAATAAACGAAATGTGTCTGGTTTACATTGGTGTTTTATTTATAAGGAGCGGTCAGTAATTTTTTAATTTAGAGACGGTGGTAATAACTGAAATGCAATGATTTTTAGCTAAATTAATTCATTATGATCTGACTTCAGTCCATAAATAAATAATGTTGCATGGTATAGTTTATTAAACACAATAAGTCAATTACAAAAGGAAACCGCAATAAAAACAAAAAAGTTGGCTTCTCTCTGAAATTTCTCTAAAAAATCAACTAGGTATATTTCTCAATGAAGACTAGAGATAAGGAGGCGAATCGGCATACTCAAAATACGGTCCCAAAAATCGCACGCTAATTGAGCTTTTATAATTAACCGCATGGGCGCTGGTACTGCTTACGGTGTTCAAAATACATGGCTTCTTATGGAAATTATACATAATTTTGTCAAAATAATAAAAATAAACTTGTTTATTGCTAAATAAAGCACAGAACATAGTGTTGTATTTATTTCTAAATAAGTCCTGCATGTTTTAATTGATAAATTATTTAATTTTATCTACATAAAATACAAATTAGGTAGGTATGACCAAATTCGAAAAGGTTTGTTAAATGCTGAAATTTGATAATTACAATTTTGTGGCAAAATTTTTTTGAATTGAACCTATATATAGTGTTAAGAGCAAAATAAAAGTTAACAGTTAACAAATTTTTTATTCTTGTAATACAAGTATAAAGGGAGATTTGGGAACAATACCATCAGTAAAAATAGTTTCAGAATATTTGATAATATCTTCTAAAAAAGTATAGAACAGCATCATCTTTAGAAAGTGTTTTTTTTGCACTACGAACGATATATATGCTGCCACTGTTCTAAGGTTTAGTATCCAAAAAAACATTTACAATAACACAATAAAATTGGAGTTCAAAAAAAAATAATAGTAGCAACTCTTTATCTAACATTAAAACTCTATAAAAAATAAATTTTCTTTTCTAGTAAGTTAAATTTAATGTAATTATTGTTGTTTGTAAGTCAGGATCTATGACTGTAAAATTTTAAATAAATAAATATATACATTAGAAGTTTTAAAAAGACATTGAATTGATTTCTCCTTGTGATTTCTTTAGTTTTACATTTGATTTGTATCCTGTTTTACAATCTGGAACGACATTGACTTACATAGAAAATTGACACCGCTCTTATTCGTCATGCCAACTACAGTCAATTTCGCGAACTTTATAAAAAGAAGGACAGAAATTTGACCATTGCCGATTCGCCTCCTTCTCTCTAGTCTTCATAAGTACGATGTATGTCAATACAATGCCTGTCGAGGTTAGTATGACCCTTTGAATTTATATTCAAAGGTATGACCCGCGAATATAATGTAGTGCTAAATATATTATGATCTAAATACTCGCCTAAATATGTATCGGAATGTAGTAATCCAAAATCATTATTTTTACCTCGCTAAGATGAACCTTAAGTAATTGTACATAGAAGTAAATTCCTCACTATAAAATATTACAATTTAAACCGACATGCTTTAATAAAATGTTGCTAATAAGGAATATACAAGGTGTTAAATGATACATTTTAAGATTTCTTTTTTGCAATAACTTTACCGTTTTTGGATATGTATACATAAAAATTTGGAAATAGAGGTTTTTGGGCACGAAAAATCATAATCTGGTACCTACTTTTATGTAATTTGTAGAGGGCGCTGCATAGGCTACTTTTGTGGTATAAATGTGCCCTAAATTTTTTTGCTGTTTAAGTTAGCGGTATTTTTGTAAAAGAATATTAAAGCCACGTTATTTTAATAGAAGAAAAGTATACTTGTTATTATTAACCTTAAAACTTAACGGTTTACGATATAATCGTATTTTAAGGATCAGCTGCATGATTATTATTGAAAACATTTAGAAAACAAATTAAAAAAAAAACTAAGCTAAATAACATTATAACTTTAATTGTATCACATTAAATGTTCGATATGTCCTCCATTCTCGTCGATGCATATATCTACCGTTCCATAAAAGATCGTCTCATATTAAACAACATCATTGGATCAAAAAACCCGTTGCAAATTGTTTCATTGCACCCCATACACCGAAATCGAGAGGATTCAAGTCTGGATTACGTGCTGACCAAGGGAAATGGCTACCACGACCAATCCAGCGTTCAGGAAAGCTGTTATTTAAATATGTTTTGAATGCTCTCGTATTATGCGGCGGTGCACCATCTTGCTTGAACCACATATTTTGTCTTATATTCAGTGGCAATTCTTCCAATAGATTAATGAAATCATTTTGCAAAAATTGTAAGTAGTTCTCACCATTCAAATTACGGAGTAACTCGTATGGTCTTAAGAAATTGTTACACACCATACGTTTATTTTGAATTCATATTGGAAATGCCTTTCTCGTTTACCATGGGGATTTTCAATAGCCCAAAGATGATTGTTCCTTAAATTAAAAATACCACGGCAGGTGAAGGTAGCTTCGTCGGTAAATAATATTCTGTCGACGAAGATGTGATCAAGATTTTACTTGTTTCGGATAGCACTTGCAAATTGGTATTTTAACGGTAGATCTGCTGGCAATAAATTTTGTACCGGAGTAAAATGGTATAGGTGATATTTCTCGAGGTGCAGCCTTTTTAAGATAGAAGTTTTACTGATTTCTAAAGCAGCAGATAAACGCCGTGTACTAACTTGAGGATCATCTTCGATGCGAACCATTATTTCGTCATTATCAGGCGTAATTATTCTTGGTCGGCCTAAGTTATCACGCTTAGGACGAATAGAACCACTTTCGCCTAAATTCCTAAATAGATTTTTGAATGTTTGATGATTAGGTTGCTGCCTGTTTGGATATCTTCTGAAATATTCTCGTTTCGCAGCACGCCCATTAAAATTTTGCTGACAGTAAATAGCAACCATATCTCTCGATATCTGTATTAGAATAATTATTATGCCTCGGCATTTTTTGCTTTTTTTAAATTAACCTAAATAAATTCAAACTAAATATTACAAGACTTACATAGGTATAATATTGAAACAAATCGAATGCTTTGCTGTCAAAATCATTCGTGGCGTCCGCCTACTACGTTAATAGTTCCCAAAATGAATAAATATTACTTTGGGAAGAAATAAATAGATCCATTGATGTTGTTTAATATGAGACGATCTTTTATGGAACGTGTAGATAAATGCATCGACAAGAATGGAGGACATATCGAACATTTAATGTGACACAATTAAAGTTATAATGTTATTTAGCTTAGTTTTTTTTTTAATTTGTTTTCTAAATGTTTTCAATAATAATCATGCAGCTGATCCCTAAAATGCGATTATATCGTAAACCATTAGTTTTAAGGTTAATAACAAGTATACTTTTCTTCTATTAAAATAACGTGGCTTAAATATTTTTTTACAAAAATACCGCTAACTTAAACAGCAAAAAAATTTAGGGCACATTTATGCCACAAATGTAGCCTATGTAGCGCCCTCTACAAATTACATCGAAGTAGGTTCTAGATTATGATTTTTCGTGCCCAAAAACGTCTATTTCCACATTTTTATGTATACATATCCAAAAACGTTAAAGTTATTACAAAAAAGAAATCTTAAAATTTAACCTTTAACACCCTGTATATTCCTTATTAGTAACATTTTACTATATCGTTGGTTTAAATCGTAATAATTTAAAGTGAGGAATCTACCATACTTCTATGTACAATTACTAAAGGACCACCCTGTATAAACTATTGCATCGTTGCAATGAATTCAAGAGTGTCATCTAAAGATAGAAAGTAGGAATATACAGTGTCGTCGTTATGATTAATATTGAATTTAATGTTAGTAAGATTATTTTAAACATTTATTAAACTTTAAGAAGATTTTAAACAATAGGAACATTATAAAGAAAATATTATTTATAAACATTTCAATTTCCACGATTAATTAATAGATGTAATAGGAGGTGGTCCCATATAAATAGGTTCATGAGAAAATCATCAACCTCTTTATATTTTTGTATATGTATATGTTAAGCGATAATTCTTTACCACCTTGTCCAATGTCTAGGATTCTTTTTTGTTAGAAAAGGGGTACCTCAGGGGTGGTCCCATATAAATTTGGCCAAGATCTGGTGATGGGATCTGTGATAAAATCGGCAAAGTCAATTTATAATGACATCTGTATGATTTTGGAGTCGGTTTTTTTTTAAATTACTTTTGTAACTTATAACTAGTCTATTTATGTGCTTGGCATACGATAACTTGATTTTACTGATTTTATCTTAGATCCCATCATCAGATATTGAACAAATGTAAATGAAACCACCCTTGAGGTCCCCTTTTTCTAACAAAAAAAGAATTATAGAAATCGGACAACGTGATAAATAATTATCGCTGAACAATGAACATACAAAAAAATTAAGAGTTTGATGATTATCTTATGGACACCATTAATAGATCTTGACAAAATTTATATAGGACCAGCCCTGAGGTATCACGGGTGTGAAGTTATCCACAAATGTACACTAAGAAAAATATAGCTCTATCGTAACAGTCATATACCTTGGTTCAAATGACATATAGAGGCTTTTCATTTGCAGAATATAATTGAGGAGGTTTCAATACATAACAACCATACCCGCAATTACCATTTTGTTCCGTCTGAGGGGGTGCAATTGGGGGTGAAATTAAACAAAAAATCATAGAAGCCACAAATGGCATTCTACACCTTTATGCTTGGGATATGTTATGTAGTTTGCTCATTTTTTCATTCCTGATAACATGCTGGAGTTTGTCGAACAGTCTGAAGGGGTGAAATTTAAAAAAAAATTTAGAAGTCACAAATGGCTTTGTAAACCTGATATGTCATGTAGTTTGCTCTTTTCTACACCCCTGATACCATCCTGGAGTTTGTGGAGCCGTCTAATGGGGTGCAAT